TCATTAGCACCTCTAGTAATATATTTACTGAGAAAAACGTTGACGTGTTCAATACTTATTTTACCCGCTGTACATCTCTGTCCAAAACTACTGTATATTTATATTTTATAGTCAGATAAGCCTTGATCTCAATATGACAACTTTTCYGATCTTACAGTTAAGCTAAAAGACGTGTCCCAGAAGATACATTTTGAAGTTTGTGGCTGCAGGAAATGCACACACCTTTGGGCGGAGATTTGCAGGACTCAAACACAATACTGACATTTCATTAGAGTCAAAAAAAGAGAGGGGAAAAAAAAGAGCAGCCTTAAAAACAGCCATCTGTGAATAACTTAGTAAAGCTGTCATCAGGCTGATTAAAATCTTTGCACTATCCGGTCTGTTGAATGCATGGCTATTTGTTYGTTTCTGTGCCATTTATCTTTTGAGCGTAACGTTTGTACGTGTGAAATCAACTGTACCACAAAATTCTCAATGAGTGCCCCGAATCACGTACGCTCCGAAGAAACATACGAGACTACTGGTGAAACTCCTAAGGCACTTCCTCATACTCAAGAATGCACACATGAATGAAAGCACACACCCTCCTACTGACGTGAATTCATCTTTGCAAGATCGGAAAGGGTGCTGCTTTCAGACCAAACAGGGGAAAAGGGGGCTGCCTCGTGTGTGTGTATCTGTGTGTGTCAGAATGTGTTTAGAAAAGTATATCCCATCAGAAAACACCCGCACCCTAACGGTTACTCATAAACACACWGAAGAGTTCCTTCCCTCAGCAAAAGACACACCAAAAGTTGTCTTGTGGTTAACAATCCTTTTTTATGAAGYCTTATAAATGATAAAAAGTTTAACTTTGATGGATCAAACTTGGCCATTAAATCACACTGAATGTGTATTTTTATGGACTTAAGAGTACGATCTGAAATTGTCTCATTATTTAGAGTTAGAACTGAATTTGAAGTAAACATTTGAAAAGGTATGATAGTTTTACCTTACTTAAATTTCAAAGAGTAAAAAAAAACAGGAGAAATTCTAGTGACAATAATCATTTTCTTTACTGGTTACACCTCCCCAACTGCAACTCCAGTGGAGCATTCTGTGAAAATTCAAGGCTGTTGGAACAATGCTACTCCCACGTGTGTTGCTTATTCTTTGAACTATAATTCTCAGTAGGAAAGGCTTATTGAGATGTGATGACAGTGATGGAGTAGGGCAACGAGTCCCTTGTTGCTGCATGTCTCCTGTCTTTGCAAACATGGCTGCTGTCACAGTGATGTCCTGGCATCTTACCTCTTGATGAGCTTGATAGACTTAAAGGCTTCGTCCATGTCGCCGATAGTCAGGTAGAAGCTGAAGTTCAACATGGCATCACGAGTTTCCTTCTCACAGTTCTCCAGYCCGACAAAGTCTCTAAGAGCTCGCCTGGACACCATATGGGAGAGCTGGGAAGGAGCCTCTGCTGCCGGCTGACTGTGACGTGAAGGTGAAGAAGCCTCTGTTGAGCCTGGATCCCTCTCACCTGGCTGAGAAATAGAAGACCAGGTTGAAAGATTTGATTTTAAGATGACCAACTATGTTATTTATATAAAAAAAAGCATGTTGAATTGTCTAGTAAATACTTGGAGGAATGTGGAAATTCTGAGGAATGGGTGGGAAGTAAACCAAACAATGAAGTAACAAATCTATGAATTAAGCACCTAAAGGTTAGAACACTAAAAAAACAACAACTGGGTTTGTGCTGCAAATCTTACAGGCATGAACATTTTCAGTTTGCACCACAAACCACACACAATCACAGCTTCTGGAAAATGGGAGTCAAGAACACAGAAGCTCTCTGAGTGAATTCTGTGGAACAGGAACTTACTTCCGGTCGAAATTCGTCACCTTTCCGAAATAACAGCTACAGTGTGTCAAACCAAACAGAATTTCACATAAGAATAATAATATGRGAAATGGCAAAAATAGAACAGTTCATGTTTGAATGGTCATGATCTCAAAAAAAAGGAAAACACAACAAAAAAAATAAAACGCTACAGGTGCATAAGGAGGCCCCGCTATCCCAGTGAAAAGATAAAACAAAAGCGGAGCACAATGTTTTTTGTCCTCACCTTGCAGCTAAAATAATAGTAGGGCACGTCCAGGGCGAGTAGGGCTTGCAGGCCTGAAGGTTTTGGAAAAAAGTCTTGTAGGAGGAGTCCATGTTCTTGTGTACAGAAGAGTGTCACTACTGATACATCCACCTAGGAGAAGAGGACACGGCCCACTGTCTAACTTTTTTAAAAACATAAACTAGAACAAACTCAAGTTCTTATAAAAGTAAAAAAAATTTTTTTTGAACAAATACAGTGCTAGCAGAAGTAAAAGGAAACAGTGCAGTAATATTTTACAAAGTTTAAAAGTGGTGTTTACCATATCAAAGTAAGTCTTTGATGTGGTTTCGGAGCTGATCGGCACCGTCTCACAGACAAAAAGGCGGGGTTCGCTTTCGTCCCAGTAGTGAGACACGGGACAGCGGGCGCTGAGTTCTGTCCCCTGAAACTTCTGCCTACAAAACACAGACATGGCCATCAACTCACGGGACAGATGTATGGACATATGGTATACAAACCAAAATGTAATTACCTATCATTTTCCTCTGGCTGAAAGACACCACTGGATGGTCTCCCAGTGAAGAAGTCAAAGTGTGTCACAGTGTCCATCTCAACATCATAAAAGTACACTTTGTGATCCGGTCGTCCATTTACCTGAGAAGAGTAATGATCAGCGTATCTAAGCCAATGTTTCATTGAAGAGATTTCATTTAGATTATTATTTATGTGATGAGCAAAGTGTTTGTTTGGTCACCTGAGAGATTAGGATGCTGACTTGGCTGCCACTGGCGTTGCACTTGACTGACCTCAGAGCCCCAAGATTGACAATCTGATCTGCCAAGTTCTTAGCACTGCAGTTAGCTTTGGCATCTCTATAAAGACATTAAACTTACCAATAAAAGTGACAGGATACTGGGCTTCAACTCAACCAGAAGTATCTGTATAAAATGTTTCTACTAAGAAAAGGGATCCACATAAACTCCATACCTTCTAGAGAGATCAAAAACTCTGATGTGTGCAGCGTCTGTACCGACCACCAGGTAAGACTGGCACACATCGAGTAGCACAGGGTTTCCCTCTGCTTTGGAAAAAGTTAAAAGCTGCTTTACTGTGCCCTGAAAGAGAATTAAAAAAGACATTCAAACAAATAAAAAAAAGGTCTGAAAATTCTGAGCCAACCTTTGGTATGGGTCACTGTGTAACTCATAACAAACCTGTGGTGTTCGGATTTGCACTCTGTTTGGTTCCACAGTGTAGAGGTTCTCATCATGTACAGCTACCACTTGGGAATCACAAGAAAATGATCCTGAGTATCATAAGAAGAGAACACAGAGAAAGTCGGTGTGAATTTAACAAGAAAAAAAAAACTGTAAATGACATTAAAATAAAACTATAAGGCACATATAAAACACTGTGTGTTGCTGGAGCTGTTGTTTGAACTGTTCAGAGTTTTTTTTATTTCACATGTACCTGTGCTGCGTAAATCTGTCCCTGAAAGCTCATACACATTGATTAGTTTACCATTCCAGACCGTCACCGAGTCCTGTTGGTACGACAAAACACGATGAACAAAACACAACAGTTATTTATTATTTATATGAAATATAAACGTAAAGGCTTCCCTCTCCACTCTTACCTTGCTAACGCACACGCCTTTTATGTGCATGTCAGACTGCAGAGCGAGGTGCACTCCTGTGGTGAAGTGAGTGACGCTGAGCTGTGTCGGGGTGAGCTGCACCGCCGCCACCTGCTGGCTATAGTGGGCCGACATGACGTGCTCGCACAGAATCAGCACTGTCTTTGAATTGTTTGCTGCCAACAGATTCTGGCTGGAGCCCCACTAAAACACAAAGTCAAATAAATATATTTTTAAATCTAAACGATGCACAAATTTGGCTGACACGGAATGATAATCARAACTTTATTATAAAACTGAGATTGTGAAGATGATGCAGATGCTACCTGTAGCTGAGAGATGTTTCCTTCTATTTCAGTGGGTGTCTGCAATTTCCATAGGGTTTTAGAGTCTAATCTGCTGCTGCTTGGCTGCATCACCATCTTCCACATTGCTATGCGCCCATGGGAGGTACCAGCTGCCAGGATTTCTGATGATCCCACAAAATTTTATCAAAATTAGATTTTTCCAGAGATCGCAAACACTGTCCTAATAAACAGACTTTTGTCTGCTCAAGTTTTAAGAATATAGTAAATAGTAAAACACATTACGGCAAAGGCTGGTTCACCCCAAAGATCCGGTGCCCCGGCACAAACAGAGCAATGTTGTATATGCTGTTAAGTACCAGGAGGACTGCGACCAGTTATACATCGGGGAAACAAAGCAGCCACTGTTCAAAAGAATGTCCCAACACAGACGA